ATTGTGGCAACTTGAGGAATGAACAAGTGGATGGAAGATCTTTCTGTCTCTCCTTCACTCTGTAAATCTGATTTTCCAATAAAAATAAATCTTTAAATAAATAAATAAATATAACCACATAAACCATCACTCTTACATTTGAGATGATGTATCCTGTGCTTTCTTATAAACTGAAGTGACACTGACTAGCAGAACGAAAAGGACCATTGAGACTCATACCCAATTAAACTAAGTGTTTAGTTGTGAAGGTCCAGAGTTCAGGGATTACTTAATCTGCTTCCATGATAAACTTCCTTTTGAAAGTAAATAGAACTTGATCTTGCTTAATATTTATGATAACATTTTTATCAGTAACTTTCCAGTGCTTCCAAATATGAGATTTCCAAAGATCTGGCAAAGAATTTGGCCAAAGGTCAGTGCAGTCTTGGTAGATCAACAATGAAGGAGCATAGCTTGAATATTTTGCCATGAATCACCCTCCCATGCTGCTCTTTCACAGAGGGCTGCTGTGGGGTGGCTTTCCACTCTACTACAACTCTGGGTCATCAGCTCCTAATATCTTTCTTGCTCAGGGGTCTCAAAATTGAGAGAGAGAGAGAATGAATAGGTGGTACTGGAAGTGGAAGCTAACTCCTTCTGATTCCAGACTCGGGGCTTTTCTGCTCATTATGGAGACTTACACATCCTCTCTGCTTCTCTCAAATGACCTGCATTAAGTTTTCACATCTAGAACTCATTAACCAACTTACAGTTGGAAGCAGAGCAAAGACAGGGTCATGCCGTTCCTGAGTCTCAACCTGTTAAAGAACTCTTTAAAAGCTTCATTGAGGGCCCAGCATGGTAGCCTAGTGGCTGGAATTCTTGCTTTGTACTCACCAAGATCCCATATGGGTATAAGTTCATGTCCCAGCTACCCCACTTCCCACCCAGATCCCTGTTTGCGGCCTGGGAAAGCAGTAGAGGACAGCCCAAAGCCTTGGAACCCTGTACCTGCATGGGAGACCCAGAAGAGGTTCCTAGCTCCTGGCTTTGGATCAGGCTCGGCCCTGGCTGTTGTGGACACTTGGGGAGTGAATCAGTGGATGGAAAACCTTTCTCTCTGCTTCTCCTCCTCTCTATATATCTCACTTTCCAACAAAAAAAAAAAATGAGAAATTTTATTAGCCTGCTACAATTCCTTATTTGTGCTGTATAGGGGAATTCAATTTATTCTTTTCCAAAGTTCAAATAAAACCCTGCTCAATAACATTCATTTAGCAGTTCCTGTGTATCAAACTGTAACAAACATTCATAAGGAACAAGATACCAGTCTTGGTATCCTGCCCCTTGTGTCCAGGTGATCCTGACCTGCCAGGTTAATATCTCAACCAGCAGCTTCAGTAGATTTTGCACCTATGAATGTTTCCCTTCACTCCCTTCAAACTAGGATCTTCACTAACAAACATCTTACAACAGTTTTTTCTTCACTGTCATTTCAATAAATGAGTGCTGTGTTTTTCCTGTGAATTGTTAGACTCTAGTTGTTCTGATATATAGATTTTCAATGAATTTCACTTTCGTCCACAATATTTTCTTTCTAAGAACTTATTTTTTTCTTTCTGATATCACAGGTTATTTCAGGACATTGCTGACTCTAACATTCTAATTCAATTATACATTCAACTTTTTTGTATAATTTTTTAAAAGTTATATGCTCTAGCAGTTTTCTTACTTCTCTCCTCATCTATTCTGAGTCTGGGCACTTAGCCTGGTGATTCTTAGCAAGGGGTGATTCTGCAACCAGAATGCCAGAGGATGTTTGGCAATGCCTTGTGACATTTTTTGATTGTCATAATAAAGGGATATGAATGGTTGTGGCACTACAGAATCAGATGGAGAGAAACCAAGGTAACATCTAACCATGTTACTATGGACATATCATACCTCTCCCCAAAAAATTAACCAATCAGAAAATGGTAATCATACCAGACTAGAAATACCCCACCTTAACCATTCCATAGGTTAGCCAAGAATTGCTTGAATTTCAGAGAGAATTAAACTTGTCATCTGATCATTGGCTAAGGCTGAATTAGAGTCTAGCTCTACATTCAGAGCAATTCATTCTTACTAGAAATAATTTTACCTTTGACCCATCCCAGCCTCCATAGCGTCACAATATCACAGTTTATAACTGTTATAGAGAAAGAACTGCTATAGCATGAACTCTCACATTCTTTTTGCTCAGGGAGTATTCTCAGTTGTCTAAAATGCCATTATCTCTTTTTCTCCTAGTCTCATGCTCTAGTTTCCTACATTTTTATTTTTTTAGATTTGTATGAAGATTTATTCAATAGGGGAAGAAGAAATAGTGTTTGAAATACCTTGTAAAGATATAGAATAACCATAAATAACCTTTCCTTCTGCTAAGAACATATTTTAGAGTATTTTTCTGGGTACCTTGAGAAGAAAATGTAAGGAAACACAGGAAAATTTAGTAGCCAAGTACTTACCTTATAAGAAGACTGTCTTTGGCCAAAAACTCATTAGCAGTTTTCTGATGTGCTAATCAGCTATTTATTCACTACAGTAAACCATCCTCGTTGCAAGGGGCAGAGTCCAGTTAGAGAGAAACTGCTGGGCCACAGGATTTCTCATTGGAGTGGAAGGAAAATGCTAAGTCATGTTCCTATCAGGAGAAAGCTAGTTAATATGTTTCCTTTCAAGGTTAGCAAAAAAAGTTTTTAAAAAAATCAGATAAATTGCACTACTTTTGCCATAAGGAAGGGTTTGGCTTTTTTTGAAAAAGACTTTGGTGACTTCATGAGGTGGATAAAGAGCTAAGATGAAAATCACCATTGTTAGCAAGGCTGGAAGGTGAACACCTGTAGAAGACCACTGAGGCCTCTTGCTTAACTCTTGTCCTCATGGTGTGAACACTATCTGAAAATATAGAGCCTGTAATTAAAATAATTCAAAAATTTGGGGTAGAAAAATTCTAGCAAATATGAAAGAAGGAAAAATAACTCACATCAGCAATTGCTGATAAACTTTTTCATTCTACCTAAGAATGGGTTCATTCTAGTAACCCCTGGAAGATAAATCCTGTCAAAACCCCACGAGTATGTGCATAAGTGTGTGTGTGAATGAACTTATCTGGGAAAGTAGCCTTTTCAGATGTAACTTTTATGGAAATTAAAATAAGATTATTTTGGACTATCAGTGAAAGCAGTAAATCCAAGGTCAGTTGTGCTTTTAACAGATGGCAATGAATACCCAAAAAGGTTAGGTGAGGAGGTGGAAAAGAATGATGTGTGCAATATGGCCACAGTCTCAGAAACTATGGAATGCAAAGGTCACTAAATCTGGGAGAAGCTGAGAAGGAGCTTCTACTAACACTTTTTGTAGAATGAGTGCAGTAGTGTCAGTCTTCTAGCCTTCACTCACCATTTATTCCAGCCCTAGACTGGAGCAGTCTGTGACTAAAGCCATAAAAACTTCAATCATGTTGTACAGATTATTTTACAATCAGATTATTAGCACTGGTACCCAGAAACATCCAGGCATAGCTTTTGATATGTGTGAATAAACACACATTATAGAATAACAGAGTATCCAACATGGTAGCATATATACTATCCTCTGCCTAGAGAGTCACATCTCATGTGGGCACCAGTTTGTGTCCTGGCTGCTCTAATTTTGATTCAGCTCTCTTCTAATGTCCTGAGAAAGACGTAGATGATGGCCCATGGGAAAAACCTGGAAGAAGTTCCAGGCTTCTGGATTTGGATAAGCTCAGCTCTGGCTGTTATAGCCAGCCAATTGAGGGGTGAGCCAGAAGATGGGAACCTCTCTGCCTCTTCTCTCTCTGTAGAAGCAGTTTTTTCAAATAAAAATAAATAAATCTTAAAAAAAAAAAAAGGAATAGCAAGATGACTATGGAATCAGGCAGAGTGTGTATGTAGCTTATGTAAGGAACTTTCAATGCCTCCATGCTTCTCCCTAGGTGTTTGGGGTATGCATGAAATTGAGCTTGGTGTCATTACCCAGTTGTGACAAAACACTGAAGACACATACAATAGAACTAAAAGTACAGTAAAGGAGACTCAGTGGCCTTCAAGTATTAGTAGAGGTTTCCTAGTGATCTATGAAGGCAAAAGGGGAATACTAAGCTCCTTGGGAAGTAACAAGATGGGTAGTTGAGTTGGCCAGGTGGGAACAACTAGTCACCTAAGGAGAGCAATGTACCAGGGCCACAGAGGAAAGTGATCCATAGTGATGTATGTTTTGCTGTTAAGTATTTCTTGAGACTAAGTAAACTGTTAATTATGATTGATGTGACCATGCTTTGATCATGCTAATTCCATTTTGAGTTCCATGTCTATTTAATCGCTTATCCTGTCTCCCACTGCAGGGAACCTCTCTCTAGAAAAGGAGAACTCGAGGTGCCAAACCCAGACATTCTCAAAGGGGTCAGATGCACATGCATTACAAGGGAGAATAGGATCACCTGAGAGCAAAGGTTGTATCTGTTAGATTTCTCACCTCCTAGAGCATTGAGTCCATGGATAACCTAACAGCTTTGATATTGAATAAGAAAACATACTTTTAGTATTGGAAAGATATCAGGAAGCTTTCATTATGCCATTCCTCAGAATGGAAGGCATATCCTGGGCATACCTGAGACTTTCAGAAGCGAATTTCTACACTGGATTCTTTCACTGACCATATGCCAGACATCATCGGTTAGTATTAAGAAAGTTAAAGCAAATAGTCTGCATTTTCTTTCCCCCTGCAATATTTATTTCAATAAATAGGACAGAAGGACATTGGGAATCTGATTTCACATCAGGTCCTGAACAAAAGGAATAAATTTTAATTAAGTGTACTCAGAATGAGTATTTCATTATCACCACAATTTTAACCCATTTGTTAGTTTCTCAATAGCAAGAGTCAGTGTACAGAGGGACTGGACCTCATTGACACATAACTTCAGAAGATTGTTTTGTGAACTTGTTTTTCTTTCACATGAAAATTTTCTTTATTTCTTCAAATGTCTTCTCATCCACAGGCGGCTTCCTCTGACTGCCAGGCTGCAGGAACTTCTTCACTGTGGGGAGGCTGCTGACTCTGCTCTTGAGGACCTGGAGGGCACAGATCACACCAAAGAGCACCCTACCCCCAACATGGGCACAGCCCAGCAAGTGTGATCCATCTTAAACACAGAACAGGGCCCCCCTAACAGCACTATTATGGAGGCTTACAAACAAATCCCCAAGGAGAATGAAGATAAAAGAAAATATAGCTCTGCAGCATATTCCACCAATGCGTCATTAAGACTTCATGGTCCAGTTATCCCTAAATTCCTCCTTACACATTAATTCTGTACCTTCTGGGCTCTTTCAGAATATAGTGAAGATCAATAGATCAATGTGTCAGATACCAAGACCTAGAAGTCCCCAACATTGCTATCTGTAACATGAAAAATTTTAAAGAATTGATATGGAATGAAAGATACAAACATTAAAAGCTAACCAAGGGCCAATCACAACCAATGCCCACACTAAGAGGTGGAGGCAAGGTTTGTAGGATTGGAGAGTGAGGAAAGTCACATACAAGGGCTGACTGTAGGAGACAGAGCTGAGAAAGAGAAATCACATGGAAAGAGACATGCTCAAACAGACACCCCGGGATGGAAGGAATCACAGTGAAATACAGAACAGGGAGCAGAGCACAGAGGAAGAGGGAATAAGGGAAAGACATGGTGGGCCCTGAGTCTTTTTCTTAAAGGTTGATGTTCTAGGATGGTTTCCCTTAACAGTTCCCTTGCTCAACAAGATATTTCATGCAACAAAAGTAAGACCTTGAAGCTTGATTTTGGAATCACAAGGAGAAATGTGAAGAACTGGAAAAGCCTTAGTCCCAGACCCTCTCCACATTCTGAGATTTCAAGTGGGAGATGTGAGCCCTATCTTCCAGAGGTTAGGAGTAAAATCACCTTCAGAAAAAAAAAAGGATGATTGATAGATAGATAGATAGATAGATAGATAGATAGATAGATAGATAGATAGATCACCTGCAGCAGAGGGAAGCTGGTCATGATGGTGGGGTCAATCTCTTCCATGTGGTACAGAAGTTCAACCATGTGAATGTCAGCCTTGCTCAACCTGCTACCAACCAGGTAATTTTGTCCATGGCTCTTCAACACCTGAATTAGAGGAATCAGAACATGGTCACAGCACAAGCAGACCGGGGTGCTACTCTTCTCTGATCTCTTCCAGTCTGTCTCACCTCTGTTGCTTCCCTGTGTGGTGTGGAGATGCAGATCATTCTTCAGGTCCCTGTCTCATGAAGGGCAGTGACAAAGGAGCTGTGCTTATTCCCTAGTGAAAGTTCAGACTTCCCTTTCACTCTCACTCCCTCCTCCTTGTGACATCCACACCACCCACCTTCACTTGCACCTTCCCAGTGTGCTAAGGGCTTAGCTCCTGCTACACTAGGCCTGCCCCATGCCTTGAAGGGTGCAGCCCTGGCATTTTGGGATGCACCTCTTCACTCTGCCCTCTCTCCAATCTCCCATGGATAATAGCTCCTCCTCCATTACAGATCTCTCCCCGTAAAGAATATTTCAGATTCAATAGTTTTATCTTTTTCCCACTCTGTCTCTAGGTTCTGAAGTAGATCTGGGTGCAATTTATATTCATCATACTTTTTCACTACAGTGTTACTCATCTGCAGCTTTCTTGTCTGTGAGTGAACTGCATTGCTATCTGTAACTGATTTTGCAGTGCTTGAAACTACAGCGTTTAATTGAAGGAGAAGGACAGACTAGTTGGAGATCTCCCCAATCAAAATGCTGGACTCAGAACCCTAACCAAGAAAAGAGAGAAGACAGAACAGGTCAACCAACCATCTCAGCTATATCTTGGCAGCGAAATATGGGGCAAACAGAGACTCTATGATGGACTAAGTCAATCAGTGGATTCTTCAAGAACCTCATAGTGCTTGGAGTGGCAAGATTGGCAGCAATTCATAACTGGTGAAATATCAAATCCACTTGAGCAAGAACCTCAGAGCATACCCTACATGCGGGACCTGGGGAGGGTGGGAAATTGAATGGGCCTTCTCCCTTAATGCCCCCCTTAAAACATGAAGGAAACAATATGGAAAAAATAATAAATAAATAAACAAAAAGTCAACAAAATAGGTTAATTTTGCTACTTAGGCAGTTGGTATCTTGTGTTTATTAAACTTTGCTTTTAATCTCTCTAGCCTAGATGTGGTAAGACTTTATAATAAATTCTGGCTAGACTAACATCAAATGTTTATGAAAACACTCTGACAATATTTAAATCACAATGAATAGGAAATTAAAGTAGACATCATCATTAGAAACAATTACAAATAATGTTTGGCAAAGACCTTATTAGACTCCATGTACAGAGAAATACTAGTTATTTGGTACAAAAACAGATCAGCCCCATGTGCTATGTTGTAATATATTTGTTCACTTACGTTCTGGGGTTTAGATTCCAGAGAATGTTAGTAATAAACTGTGGCTACTGGAGGCTCATCATCATGTGAGCATGCGCTAAATCGTTAGTACCAGGAAAAGAGCTGTATTTGAGGATCTGGCTCCTCTTCACTTTTTCATCCCTTCATTCACTGTGCAAGGTCTAATACCAAACAATGAACTAGCTTCTTCTCAATGTATGAAGAAAGCATTGATTTCATGCTCTATCCCTTAGGAATTAAACAGTTGGCCTTTCATTCATAAATCTCACATCTCTTGCAAAATATTTTTGGGTTTGTGACTTTCACACAATATAATTTCTTGATATATTCTTTTACCTCAAGATAGAAGATATAAAGACTATATAGAAATTAACTGGTGAAGACTCAGAACACAAACCATGAAGGGACAGAAGATGGAACAAGTTAATCAACCACCTCAGCAACAAAATACCGGGCAAATAGAGACGCTATGATGGACAATGTCAATTAATGGATTTTTCAACAACCTCATCGTGTTTGGAGAGGCAAGATTGGCAGCAATTTCAAAACTGGTGACCTATTGAAACCACTTCAATGAGTATCTCGGAGCATGCCCCACATGCGGGACTTGGGGTGGGTGGGAAATCAGGTGGGGCTTCTCCCTCAATATCCCCCTCTACCTCAGATATATGAAGGAAACAATATGGAAATAATAGTCTTACCCACTTTCCTGTAGCCCTTGACCCTTTATGCACAAATTAACCATGTAAAGATTGTTAAAATAAAAAATATTTTAAAAAAAAAGAAATTAACTGGTGAAATTACAGAACTTTATTTCCTTATTTTGGTACAACTTTTCTAAAACTCTGACAGCTATGTCGCCAGATTCTGTAGATAATTGCCCTGAATATCACTTCATCCATCCCCTTGCCTCTCTCTACAAACTTCCCTATTTAGACTGCAGTGTGTATTCCTGAAACAGTATCAGGGACGGACAATATCTGACACGTGGGCCATATAAAGCTGGCCAAATCATTTGGTTTGACTCTCCCAAGGCAACAAAAGGTGAGACCCAAATTCAATAAATCCATAGCAGTTAATTTCAAGATAAAAAAAAATTTCTATGGCCCGTGAATCATGTTTCAAATATCCAAATTACCTTTCATTAAAAAAAAATATTCCAACCTTTGGAATATTTTCTCCTGATGGCCAGCTGCTCATCTGTCTCCCTACACATGATATTTGCATATTTTGTGATGTTGCTTTTGTCACATTGCCTTGACTCAAATAGTTGGGTTTCTACATGGTCTATCCCAACCTCTCACATGATTCAGCAACTTCTACAGTTCAAATTCTAGCAATACCCTCAAAATCTTATCTAAAAGAGTATTCTACATTGGTTTCCAGTAAATTAAATATTACTGGCAAAATTTAACTTTAGCTTTTCTGATACAATTCTTTTTCAAGTGCTATTCTTTTTCTTTTTCTATGCTATTTCCTGGGAATTTGTGCTAAATTGATATTAAGGAAGGTCCTGGAAATCCAGGTCACTGTTTCTCTGTTGCCTTTTGTGATCAACTGAATTTCTGAGTCCCAATGACATCCTGTGTTGAGATCCTGACCTCCAAAGGGTTGCTATTGGTAGGTGGTCAGATTTAGGGGATGAAACTCTTGGGAATGACATTAGCGCCCTTAAAAGAAAGAAGGAAAGGAAGAAAGGAAGAAAGGAAGAAAGAAAGAAAGGAAGGAAGGAAGGAAGGAAGGAAGGAAGGAAGGAGGAAGGAAGGAAGGAAGGAAGGAAGGAAGGAAGAAAGAAAGAAAGAAAGAAAGAAAGAAAGAAAGAAAGAAAGAAAGAAAGAAAGAAAGAAAGAGAGAGAGAAAGAGAGAGAGAAAGAAAGGAAGGAATGAAGGAAGGAAGGAAGGAAGAAAGAAAGGAAGAAAGGAAGGAAGGAAGGAAGGAAGGAAGGAAGGAAGGAAGGAAGGAAGGAAGGAAGAAAGAAAAAGAAAGAAAGAAAGAGAGAGAGAAAGAGAGAGAGAAAGAAAGAGAGAGAGAGAAAGAAAGAAAGAAAGAAAAGAAAAAAGAAAAGAAAGAAAAAACAGCGGGAAAAGACTGCTAGAGGGCTCAGCGGGGTGGCTCAATGGCTAAATTCTAACCTTGCATGTGCTGGGATGCCCTTTGGGTGTCAATTTGTGTCCTAGCTACTCTACTTCCCTTCCAGCTCCTTCTTGTGGCCTGGGAAAGCAGTAGAGGATGATCCAAAACCTTGGGACCCTGTACCCACATGGGAGACCCAGAAGAAACTCCTGGCTCCTGGCTTCTGACTCCAGGCTTCAGATCGGTTCAGCTCCAGCCATTGTGGCCACCTGGCAAGTGAACCAGTAGATGGAGTATCATTGTCTCTGTCTCTCCTTGTCTCTCTAAATCTGTTCTGCCTTTCCAAGAAAAATAAATAAATCTTTTTTAAAGGCCTGTAAAGAACTCTGAGCTCTCTACCATGTTAGGATACATCCAGAAGTAAGCCATCTGTGAACCAAGAACAGGCACTCATCATGTCAGATGTCAGTGTCTTGACCTTGCAATCACCTCCAGAACTGGAGAATTAAACATCCGTGGTTAGAGCCATCCAGTCTCCAGCATTTTCAGTACAGTAACTCACATTGTGAAGATATACTTTTCAAGACTAAGACAACCTCTAAGTTCTTAATGCCCTTAAAGATGAAGCGCTTCCACTCACTTTTTCAAAGGCAGGAAAATAACGGTTTCTTGCTTTATCTTTAATCAGAGCAAGGCTTGCCTCTTTTTCCTCATGTGGAAGGAATTGGTGATGAAGAATTAATTCAGTCAAATCTTCCATGCCTTCTGCATACATATCAATCCTACAAGATAATAACAGTCACATGCCTCTTACATTAGAGTTTACAGTTAAAAAAAAACTTAACAGAATGATATATAAGTAGGTCAAAAGGAATTCACCTTCTGAGGGACCTTTCTTATGCTAATCATTATGCCACAGCCTTTACTTACACATTAATATTTCTGAGATGACATAAAGAATAAATAAGTATATAAAATGTTTGCTATGCCTGGGACAAATATGCAGTTCCAAATAGTGTCAGTGACTTGTTCAGATCAGTGTCATAGGAAAATGTGGCAGAATCACTCCTTATAACCAATGCTACCAGTAGAGATTTCATCTCTGCCGTGCTATGTCTTATACACAAATATAGCATGGCTCATACAGTTGAAGACCAGGCCTCCAGCTCATTCCATGCAGGATTGCCTGCCACAGTATCTCACATATACTGTCTTTCTCTCCCACTGGATATGCATTTGATGGTCATTAAATGCCCAGGATTAGAAGTCTGTCTAACTTTCTTTTTTTAAGATTCATATATTTTTATTGAAAATGCAAATTTAGAGAGAGAAAGAGAGACAGAGAGAATGATACTATATCTGCTGGTTTACTTGCCACACGGCCGCAACGGCTGGAGCTGAACTAATCTGAAGCCAGGAGCCAGAAGCTTAATCTGGGTATCCCACATGGACACAGAGTCCTAAGGCTTTGGGTCACCCTTTACTGCTTTCCCAGGTCACAAGTTGGGAGCTGGATAGGAAGTAGAGAAGCCAGAACATGAACTGGTGCCAATATGGGACCAGTTGAAAGGTGAGAATTTAGGGCCCGGCGCGGTGGCGCAAGTGGTTAAGTCCTCGCCTTGCACGCCCGGGATCCCATATGGGCGCCGGTTCTAATCCCGGCAGCCCCGCTTCCCTTCCAGCTCCCTGCCTGTGGCCTGGGAAAGCAGTTGAGGACGGCCCAAAGCTTTGGGACCCTGCACCCGCGTGGGAGACCCGGAAGAGGCTCCTGGCTTCGGATCGGCATAGTATCGGCCCGTTGTGGCTCACTTGGGGAGTGAATCATCGGATGGAAGATCTTCCTCTCTGTCTCTCCTCTCTGTATATCCACCTTTCCAATAAAAAATAATAAAAAAAAAAAAAAAAAAGAAAGGTGAGAATTTAACCATTGAGTCAATGCACTAGGCCTCTTCCAATTTTCTAATTATTTATTAATCTATTATTTGTATATAAAAGGCAGAGATAGAGAAAGGAAGAAAAAGGAGAAGAGAGGCAGACAAAGTAAGGCATTGTTTCTGCTGGTTCACTGCCAAGATGTCCACACCAGTCTGGGTTAGGTCACATAAAAGCTCAAGAACCCAGAACTCAATTTAGGTCTCTCACATGTATGGCAGAAAACCAGCCTTTTGAGCCTCCAACAGCTCTCTCTGTGGGTATGTATTAAAGAAACTTGGAAAGAAAAGCAGGGTCAGAACTTGGACTCAGGCATGGTTATATGTGGTGTTGGGAACCCGAGTATGATCTCACTGCTGTGCCAAATACCTATACCACTCAAATTTTTTTCTCATAAAATGTGACGCATAGTTCTTTGCACAGCTATAAACCTAGAAGTAGAATTTCTGTGTTATTACTGACATTATGTGTCATTTTTAAAGAAATTATACAGATTTATTTCATTCAAGCAATATTGTAACAAAAAGGAGATTCCTCAAGCATTGGCAGTGCTCAGCTTGACTTCCTCAGTCCTGTATGAAATTCTTCAAATATCCTGCAGTAACTTGGACTTAGTGCTTGCACTACTATTACCTACTCACTCATCCATGGGATAGGCTGGCGTCGTGGGTGTCTAGAGATCACTCTGATAATTCCTAGAAAACGAAAATTAGCAACTTGGATTTTTTCCCTCTGGAAGTAGGGGAAAGAAAAGAGATTATTCACTTCTAGCACCGCAGACAACTTGCCCTTCTCACAAGCTGTTCACTCCTGTAAGTCTGTGCACCTGAAATCATGCTTCTTCCATACTGCTCACCTCATGGCTCAGCAGTGTCTGGAAGCTTCTGTCTCTGGAATGTGTCCATGAACTGCACTGCATCTATGGTCACAGTTCCTTGAATCCACCCCACAAATACTCCCCTCATCCCCACAAGACTCTGCTACAGTAGATCTCAGGTGTGTATCTACATCCCCACTGCTGTGGGTCCTGC